GTGCAATTGCTGGGTCGTAGGGTAGCTCTATTTTCAACTTTTTGAGGAACCTCCATACTGTTTTCCAGAGTGTCTGCACCAGCTTGCATTCCCACCAACAGTGTAGGAGGGTTCCCCTTTCATATGGAAAAATTCTGATGAAATGCACATGTCTTATTGAGAAGCACATAGTCAAAATGTCTTGACAATATTTTGGAACTCAAAATTTATTCTTAAATATTTTTATTTCCCCCAAGTAATAAAATAATAGAAATGGAAACAAAATATTTGACAGTTTCCTTTGTACTCATTTCCTCTAATTTTGTGAAGTAAATGTTAGGGCCATCTATAAGAGTGTTGGCATTATCTCCAAACATAAAATGTAAGTCCTTGACTCAACTCAAGGCCTTTTTCGACATAAATTTAGTCTCCAATCCTTTTACTCAGCAAACATTTATTGAATCCTACTATACAGAGGACACTGTATAACATATTTGCCCATTAAGCAATTTTTCTCTTTCTTTAGACAAAGCATTAGATAAAATAATCACTTCTGCCTAATGAATACATACCCAAGTAATATAGAGTACTTGTGTTTGCTTCAAGGTGCCAGTCTCCATTCTTGCTAGTATTCCAACTCAACGGATTTGAAGAGCCATTCCTCATGTCAATAACATTAAACTTACCAGGATTTTGAGTGAAGTTATGAGATATGATTACATAGTCTTCTTCCTGTAAGTGGTTGCCCCCAAATATGATTTTATATGTTAATATCCTGCATAATATACATTAATTTTGATGACATACAATTAGCCCTTATATTTAGACTTAAGTTTTGGTTTTAGTTTGTCATCTTGCATTCATATTTTGTTTAGTAACATTTTATATGTCTATGGCAATAATGCTAACTCTATCCGAACGCAATGAAAATCTCTCTGTACACACACATACACAGACACAGACACACACACACACACATGTATTTAGAGAATATTTTATTTCTGTAATATTTTAAAACATTTAAAACAATCCTAGGTATTGTTTATGGCTACACATATGTAGTATAACTAGAAGAACATGAATGGGGATGAAAACACCCAATTCAGGATATTGGTTACCACAAGAGTGGAGAGTGGGGAATGAGATGAGAGTAAGCCATACAGGGGACTTCCATTTCATCAAAAATGTTTATTTCTTAAAAAAAAATCAAAAGTAAAGATTCACAGAATGTTAGATCCAGATGGAGCTAGGTGGTGGGCACACAGGACTTGGCCCGTCATTGTCTGTGTTTGGTATATTTTAAAATACAATTTCTAAAGCCCTTAACTGGTACCTGGAATATCCTAAGCACTCAATAAATGTTAGTTATGATCACGATAATAATAACAGGACAGAAGCTTAGTATTATGGGAATATGGCAAAGATGTTGCTTACTTCTGATTCCTACACAAGGTTTCTTTTTTTAGCTTACTTTTTAGACTTAGGGTGGGTCATGAAGTGTGTGCAGGACTTCACCAGGTCAGTATGTGAGGCAAGCACATTCTGGGCCCAACAACTGGTATAAGGACAGGACATAGGTTGCATTCGCATACTATGCAATCATCATTATTAGAAGATGAATTTAATAGCTCTTTGTTTACCTTAAATCCATAGAATGTTGACGTATAAGATATGTTGGTTATGTGATCTACATCTTTAAAATACCAGTTAATGTGCTTTGCATTTGGAATCAGAGCCATCCATCCAGACATATGAGTCAGTCGTTTCTTCTGAAAGGGAACAATGCTTGTGCCTATAGCAGAATACAAAACAAACAAATAACAGTCTTCTCTACCTCTAGAAAATTCCTTTTTTTACAAACAAGTGAAATATTAGCCTAGTTTATGGAAGTCTCTGAAGAGGTCAGAATAGCATTTCATTACTTATGTTCTAAAGGTCTTTGTTAACTGAAGGCCCCAATGTTTCATATTACACTTAACTGAAACATAAAAATGCCTTCTCACTTGGAATTCTGAATTGAGATGAAGTCTTTATTCCTTAGGGAAAGAAAAAAATCAAACATGATGATGATTAATACTACTATGACAAAAGTGCTTAAATATATTAATACAATTCTTTAAATATTGATCTAAAATAAAATTCTGTTGTTATTCTTTTAAGAACTTAAATTAACTCAGAACTTAATTATTTCAGGATCCTTAATTTACAGGATATGCAAATATAAGTTCTAATTCTTTATTAGATTCTCTTGTATTTGTTGAGTTAATCAAAATCTACGTAACAAGTACTAATGTAAAGTTTTGATTTAAAGCTCTTAAGAATCTTGGCTACCACCAGACTTACCATGAACACTGGCTATGATACCCTCAGGTTTGTGAATGACAATCTTGGAACATAAATTACTTGTTATGGGAAAAAATACTTAATTTAGTAATGCTTTGTTCATGAAAGAGTACCTGACAACTTTAGCTAAAGATTTGAAAAGATTTTTTAGAATATAAAGAAGACATGATTAATTGCCCATATTCTATTTTTTCCTCTCCATCCCCTCTCTCTTTTCATCTCTGATTGAATTTTATGTTAAATTTGCAAACTCTTCTCCTACAAATTTAGGGGGAGAAAGCTAGATGAAAGATTATAAAATAAACTGTCATCCTTTTTCTTTGGAGAATAAGGCAAAAAAGTTCCAATATCAAGGAGGAACAAATTTATTAATTCTTAGGCTTGTGAATTAGCATTACATTTAAAAAAGCCATGAGCAGAGACTCTAAAAACATACAGTTCCAAAAGACCTGCAGTGTATAAGAAGAACTATGATGATTTGAATTACTCAGCAAATATTCATTCCTTTCCCCTCCTTGAGGGCTGAGTAGACTTCCCTGACCTGTTGATGTTGGGTGATGTGACAGTCATAAACATTTGTGTTTGCTGGATGAAGCTTGCCATCTTGAACCTCTACCATTACAATGCAAAGAGCCTGCCCCAGGTAGTTGGCTCTCCCTTCAGCCTACACTCTGGAATAAACACACGTGGAGACCTGAATTCAACTTTTGGGGAGGAACAAAGCCCATTGGATCCTCACCTTCAAGCAGAGTATCCTAGCTGAGCACATCCAAGATCAACCAACCCAGTCCTCAGACATGAGAGTGAAAACAATGATTGTAGGTTTAAGCTTTGGGGATAATCCCTTTTGGGGATTAAGTTTGGGGATAATCTGTCATGAAGCAATAGCTGACTTACATAAGAGTTCATGAAAATCACCCAAAACCTCCGGAATTTGCTCTATGTTTGGCAGAACCAACCTCCACTAAAGTTTTCTGATGCATGGAATTATACTTTAACCTGAACGTGCTTGATAATTCTCTTTTTGTAAATAAAACTAATTGTGGGGCACCTGGGTGGCTCAGTCAGTTAAGCAACCGACTCTTGATTTTGGCTCAGGTCATGATCTCAGGGTCCTGATACCAAGCCCCACATTAGGCTCCACACTTGCTGGGCATGGCACCTGCTTGGAATTCTCTCTGTTCATCTGTCCCTCCCTGCTCATGCTCTTTTTTTCTCTCTAAAATGGAAAAATAAATCTTAAAAAAACCTAATTGTCATTTTTCATAGTTATTTGTGTTTCTTTAATTTTTTTCAGATGCACTCATTTTCAGCATGTTGATTTTAAGCATCTTGGACTGAAATTTGAAGTTGATATTTAAAAAAATAATATTACTAAAAGTAAGTGTCTCAAATTAATTTGCCATCTGGTCTATAGTATCACTAGTAGTAAGTATCTCAAATTAATTTGCCATCTGGTCTAACTTTACATATATATTCATAAAGATACATATATTCATACATATATACATAGAGCTGCACACAACATCATGCATGAGACACTTTAATAGATATATGTAAAGTTATACCAAATCTTATTTTTATATATATATATACTTATATATATATATATATAAAATGAAAACAGTGATCTCTTTTTTCTGTTTTTAATTTTTAGTACTAAATCATTTTATTTGGCTTTAATGGAGGTAAAATAAAAACAGTAAAATATTCTTGACTCTGAAAGTTGTTTTATTCTTTATGTCACATTAAAAAGAAAAGTACCTGGAGTGATGTTTTCTCCACTCATAATTTGGTCTGAGGACTACAACTAATTCCATTGTAATTCAATAATTACTGAATTCCTACTATTGGCAATGTCTTGTGTTGAGTTATGTGGGTGACAGAAAGATAAATTTACAGATCTTGCTACCAAGGTGTTCAGTTTAGTAATTAAATAAAAATCTTCATTCCTGAAAGGATCAGGCAAAAAGGCACAGAGAGACTTCACAAGAAAGCTACAATCTCATCAATTCAGAAGTATTAGACTTCTCGACTCAAAAATAAAAACACAAAAACTTCTCTCTAAAATCATCACTACCACCACCACTAATAACAACAAAAAAACCCAAAATATTTAAAATGTTTAAATATTACTGCTTAAAAATTAATAGTGTAAGGTATATATCTTTTTTTATCATTCTGTATATTTAAAATAATTTATCTAGGGTGGTTTTACATCTCTGAGTCCTCTGTAAAATTATCTTAGACTGTGTTTTATAAAAAGCTAATGTTCAGTCTATTCATAGGTATATCATAACGTATTTGGAGATATGATTAAAAGTTTTATCATAAGTAACTATTTTATGACATAGTAATGGGAAATACTAACATATTACCTCACCAGATAAAATAACATCTTTTTTTTTTTTTTTTTAAAGAAAAGAGTGGAATTTAATCTTTATTTACAGGACACTGCAAGAGAGGAGATTCCACATAGAAATAAGAAACCCACTGAGAGGAGGAGCTTCATACAGGTTGTACAGTTTGGAACTGGTCAAGTAGAGTTTCCTTGTAAAAAGTGCTGCAATAACAAAACACATTTAAAAAGAGTTCTTAGTAGAGAAACAGTAAGACAAACTTCTACCAAACAGAGTACACAACAAACAACTTTCTGCCTCAGCTGTACAATCTAAAAGTTAAAAGTCCCGGGAGTGCCATCCTGAACTTGGAACGTATAGCCTTCAGAGGTAGTTTCTGGCACAACATTCTGATCTTCCTCTTCCTCTACA